ATTTTCAATAGTGACCTTTCTTATGCCTAGATGCAGCCACACACCAACATGAAAGTTGGTACCTCACTTATTGTTCAAGTTATCCAGCTCACAAGACAGACAGATGGACAAACGAACAGATGGATGGACAGATGAAGAGATGGATGGACGGTATTTTCAAGTCCCCTCTTCAGGGGAAAATAAACAATCTTAGAGAAAGTCAGTGTTACCTCCTTGCTGATGAAGTAAAAGGTGTTCACATATGCAGCTCCGCCCAGCAGACCCTCATAGAGTATGATAACAAACATGATCCAGGCACTGGGAAGGAACTGGAAACGTACAGCAAACACCAGGAAGATGGCATTCATTCCCTGTGATAAGTGTGAGACACAGGTCTTTACATGAAACAATCTTTACAGATCAAACTTATTTGTCAAATAAAGACAAGTTACTTACACTTTTTTATGCTAAAACAAAATCTGTACTGTTAAAAGCATGTGTTCTTAAAGGTTGAATAGGAATAATAACCCAAGTACTATTATCCATCCATCCATCCATTATCTTTTACCCGCTTCTTCCATTTTGGGTCACGGGGGTCGCCGGTGCCCACGTCCAGCAATCACTGTGCGAGGGGCGGGGTACACCCTGGACAGGTCGCAAGTCCATCACAGGGCATGCTAATATCCTTCTCACCTAATGTAAACACCACTGTAAGAGTTTTTTTCACAATGTGATTTTAGTTCACAATACTTTTTATACTCTCTTTGTTCGTGATTCACAAAATAAGGAAATCCTGATGGACAATTTGATGATGTCTGCAAAAAAAGGTGTGTTGTATGTATATGTATGTTGTATGCACTCTCTCCCATCCTAACTGTTGAGATGGGAGACATTTGCTGTTCTTGTGAACTCCTTCAGGGGCGGCCACAGGGGTCTTGGTGACCTCTAATACTATTTTCCATTTTGCGTGGTCACTCAGTCAGTCTGTTTGTGAGGATGAGCTGCTCTTGGTAGATATGCACATGTCCCATGTTCCTTCCATTTCTCCTGGGGATGTTCAGGACCTTGTAAATCCTTTTGTATCCATTCCCTGACTTGTACTTTTCATCTAGAAAGTTCCTGGAGAAACTTTGATGGGGACTGCCACGTGGTGGCCATTTTAAAATGTAGAGGACAAAAATGTCTACGTTTTGATATACAGTATAATATATAAGCAAAAAATACATTTAATTAAAAGATCTGGTGGTAGGAAGAGTTCAATGACATTGAATTTTGTTCAGAGGCCTCTTCACTCTAGGCCATGTGACCTCAATGTGGCAGAGGCTGTGAAGAGTTCTGTCAGTGTTTTTCAATGAGAAAAATAACGCCTTTGTTTCCAAATTACATCGCCATACTACAGTAGTCCCTCATTAATTGTGGGTGTTAGGGACCCTGCCGCAATAAGTGAAAAACTGCAAAGTAGGGATACAGTAGTGCAAGTTCAAGTAATCTTTATTGTCATTAACATCTCATGTGGTACATGAGATGGAATGAAATTATGTACACAAGTAGTAGTAGTAGTAGTAGGTGGTAGTTTATTTTAATATTTACTGTAGTAATAGTAAATGGTAAATGGACTGTACTTATATAGAACCTTTTTATCTAATCAAGATACTCAAAGCGCTTTACACTACAATCTGTGTCCTCATTTACCCATTCATACAGCACTCTACTAGATCTCTACAAAGCTAATTGAACAAATCATTCTAAAGAGACTAATCAGAACTTTAGATCACATTCAAACACCGATGGGACACACATCAGAGGCGACGAGGGGTCCAGTGTCTTGCCCATGGACACTTCGGCATGTGACTGCTGGTGGATTCGAACCCCCAACTCTTGCATTGGAGGATGACTGCTCTAACCACTCAGCCACAGCCGCCCCAATAGTAAGTAGTACTTTATTTTAGTATTTATATACAGGTATATATTGGTGTTTTAAACCCTTCCCACACTCTTGCAATGTTCCTAACAATTTTCTAAATTCTAAACACTCTAAAAGAGCACAGCATGTCATGATCTCCACTCTCTGCCACTTGCAGCTTTCTGCCACACCCACTTCTCAGCTGTAATCACACTTGTGCTCATCACTCCCAATTTCCCTCCTTCTGTGTAATAAAAAAATAGAACACTGTACTATAATAGTTTAAATAAACAAGCCATGCTGCATGAGCAGCTTTTTATTTTAAATAATCAAGGGCGACCGCCCCCTCGGCAAACGGTCAGGCCACCAGGAAATGTCCTGATGCTCCGAATGGCCAGTCACCCCAACCTGCTGCAGCAGATACTAAATCATTTTAAATAATTTATTTTAAATAAATTATTTTTTGTGCTTTGATTTGATTTTTTTTATTTTTTTGTGCATGCTGCGCTCCCCAGTGTCTGCAGATTCCCTGATAGTCTCATTCCTGAAGTAATTCAGAGTTTTTGTTCCTGCTCTGTTCCTGACCAATTTAAAAAACTGATTCCTCCTCTTTGCCTTGCCCAAGACAGATCCGTCTGCCCATGATCGAATATCTGGACCTCCATGTCTGCTCTGCAAGTTCAGACCACAATTCCAGCTAAAATCCTTGGATAAGTTTTGCTTTCCTGCCTCTGTGTGAAAGACCCATGCCTGTTCGTCCATCCAAACCTCCGTTCTCTCTGACGTCATCACAGCTTCGACTTCTTCACCGGTGATCAAGTTCTACAGAGTGACATATGACTTTCTCCTCCTGATAAAACTTTAAATAAATATTTTTGTTCACTTTTAACAAAGATACCATTTTATTAATAGACAAACACTGACGTTTCTAACTGCCACAGTGACCACAGGACCTCGAGGGCTCCGGGAATTCCGAGGCGTTCCCAGGCCAGCCGAGAAACATAGTCCCTCCAGCGTGTCCTGCGTCTTCCTCTGGGTCTCCTCCCGGTGGGACATGTTCAGAACACCTCACCAGGGAGGCGTCCAGGAGGCATCCTAACCAGATGCCCGAGCCACCTCAACTGGTTCCTCTCGGCATGGAGAAGCAGCAGCTCTACTCTGAGTCCCTCCCAGATGACATACCATAGTTTCTCACCCTATCTCTAAGGGAGACTCATTTCGGCTGCTTGTATCAGTGATCTCGTTTTTTCAGTCACAATCCAAAGCTCATGACCACAGATGAGGGTAGGAACATATATTGACAGGTAAATCGAGAGCTTCGCCTTTTGACCCAGCTCTCTCGACAGACCGGTACAGTGCCCGCTTCACTGCAGATGCCGCACATATCAGCCTATCGATCTCTCGCTCCATTTTTCCCTCATTTGTGAACAAGACCCCTAGATACTTAAACTCCATCACTTGAGGCAGGACCTCCTCCCTGACCTGGAGAAGGCACTCTAGCCTTTTCCAGCTCAAGACCATGGCCTCGGATTTGGAGGAACTGATTCTCATCCCGGCCACGTCACACTCTGCTGCGAACCGCTCCAGCGAAAGTTGTAGATCATGACCTGATGAAGCCAATAGGACCACATCATCTGCAAAAAAAACCCCACAGAGATGCGATCCTAAGGCCACCAAAACCGATCCCCTTAACACCTTGGCTGCGCCTTGAAATTTGGTCCATAAAAGTTATGAACAGAATCGGTGACAAAGAGCAACCATGGCGGAGTCCAACTCTCACTGGGAACAAGCCCGACTTGCTGCCGGCAATATGAATCAAGCTCTGACACCGGTCATACAGGGACCCAACAGCCTGCATTAAAGGGCCTGGTACCCCATACTCCCCGAGTACCCCCCACAGGGTTCCCCGAGGGACTCAGTCAAATGCCTTCTCCAGGTCCACAAAGCACATGTAGACCGGTTGGGCAAAGTCCCACACACCCTCCAGGACCCTGCTGAGGGTGTAGAGCTGGTCCAGTGCTCCACGACCAGAAAGAAAACCACACTGCTCCTCCTGAACCCAAGGTTCGACTAGCTGATAGACCCTCCTCTCCAGAACCCCTGGATAGACCTTACCAGGAAGGCTTAAGAGCACTGAACCCCTGTAGTTGGAACACACTCTGTGGTTCCCCTTTTTGAACAGGGGGACCACCACCCCTGTCTGCCAATCCAGGGGAACTGCCCCTGATGTCCACGCAATATTGCAGTCATGTAAGCTAACACAACCCTAAAACATCCAGAGCCTTAAGGAACACTGGGCGAATCTCATCCACGCCCAGGGCCCTACCACCGAGTTGCTTTTTAACCACTTCGGTGACCTCAGCACCAGAGATTGGAGAGCCCAACCTAAAGTCCTCAGGCTCCATTTCCTCAGTGGAAGACATGCTGGTGGGATTGAGGAGGTCTTCAAAGTACTCTGCCCACAAACCCATGACAATTAAGATACACATAAATATTAAATATCAAAATGTAGGCATTTATTTGTTTTTCCACCAGTATTCCTGGTTTGGCTGTAGGAGTTATGGTTTTCTCGTTAGGTGCTGAAGGCAGAGTGTGACCATTTATAGAAACAATTCCTGAATGTTGTTCATACTGTGTTAATGCTGCATGTTTGTCTCTTGACCCTGCAACTGGCTAGGATGCGTGAGAGAAGTGGAGCGTGCTCTATTCACACAAGGAGAGCTGTTGGTCAGGCTACTTCTTGTTGTGCCATTAACTCTAAAATATTTATTGAATCAAGTGTTACTTGTGTAGGTAAAACTAGATGTTAAACAACTTGTTAAAATACACCAGAATGCAGGAAATTGGCATCTACTTTATTCAAAATTTTCTGGAGAAGGACCCCCAGACCTCACCCCACCAGTGTGTCCCCCCCCCCCACATTACAAACATGCTTCTGACACTAATGGTCATTGTGTTATTAACCATCTTCCAGAGCAGGACTCTCACATTTAACATACTACACATCTCATGAACAAAAAGATTATTGTCTTTTTTATTTTAAGTTGGCCAAATCACATCTATTAAAAGTAAACTAATGGAAATTGCTGCTGTAATTTGATTCTTTTAATAAGTCATGTAACTTGCTATGGTCCCAGGTTTTGAACAGATGTGATACTGGTGTGTGACCACAGCGTGCACATCTGATGTTACTCACAGTGGTCATCAGTGTGCTCAGGGAGCTTGTGTGTTTGCCCAGACACAAAAAATTAGAGGGAACATTGCCTCCAACTGCTGCTCTTGAACTAAAAGATAATCTTTGCAACACAAAGCTCTGTTTTATGAGATTAACCTAAACCAGTTCCATTTGAATCTTACCTGCAGGAGAGAGAAAATCCACAGTTTCCTGATCTTCATGCAGCAGAGGGAGGATCGAGACACAAACACACCGACCTGATACAGAACCTGGTACCTGAGCCCACAGAACAGACACAGAAAGCTCAAATGATCAGAAGTGAGGAGTTTCTTCAGATCAGTTTGTTGTAATGTTAACCAACCAGCGATACTGCTCCGCATGGGACAGGAAGAAGTTCTGAAAAAACAGGAGTTCCATCTAAAAGAGAACAAATTTATCATAGAAGCCTGCAGCAATTCTATCATTAGACATCCTTCTTCTCTCTCATACACACACACAAACACACAGAGACAGAGATAAGAAGAGCGGTGAGATGTGAGGGCAGAACTCACCAAGCCCTGGTTGATGAAATACTCAGCGAAGTAGACGAGACCCAGGGGAATCACAAACCACACTAAGCTCTGTTCACAGGAATCATGGCTGAATAATGTGACCAAACACAATGAAACCATAAGAAAATAAAACAGCACTTACTTTGATAAAACAAATTTTCTCCTTTAAGGTAATAGGTCCTACACGTCTGTCCTCTGTTGAATTAAATGAAGAGAGAAGACGGCCTTTGTGGTTATTCAATAACAAACCAGGGAATTTAAACTACAGATGCATAGTGAGACAGAGCAGAGGAAAGCAGCAGCACTGGGATCATGGATAAAGTATTTTGTACTGAGGTGAACACAGGAGAAGTTTACTAAACCAATTAAACCATCTGATGTGAACATCATTTACACCAGTGGCAAACAAAATCCTGACAGAGTAACATAGATGCTTATTTACCAGTACCTGCTTTCTAAAATCACCATTAGTTCTCCATGAAGCCATGCTTGTGGTAGCAGCTCATTTTATACAGACAACCAAAGGTATAAGAAAATGGAGATTTTTCACAATCTAAAATATAGCTGGTATTTATTTAAAAGCTATGTCACTCAAGTGTTTATATTGCCATCTTGAATTTTGACATGGTTGTCCGGAAGTTATCGCAGTTGGGAACGAGGCGCAGTAACATGTAATAGTTTACAAACATCCATCTTTGTCTTAAATAGTGTAGTGAACTTGACCTGATGTCAAATCAATGACCTTAGGATCATATGGTCAGAAACTGTCATTTCATTGATTTGCATCCAGAAATACAGGTTGATCGATCCTGAGACTTTCTTTCTTGAATTAATCAAGTGGAAAAGACAATTCTCTATGATCATTACTATTTTACAAATGTTTTGATAATCAAATTGTGTTAGTTCAAACAATGTTTACATGTTGAAGTGAACTACTCATTTTTATTAACTGTGAAACAGTAAATGATGATCCTTAATCCTCATTCAAAGAAGAAATCAGGTTAATATGCATTTCTTGATTTTTCTGTCTTCAATGAGCAAAGTTGTAAGTGTGTTAAAGTTCAAGCTTCGGTCAACTAGAAAGTTTACTGAAAAGAAATGTCATGTTTAACTTTTACAGCAAGATACTGAGTAGAGACGCCACTAAGACTGGTTTTCTCCAACAATCTTTCTGTCTGTTCTTAAACAATCTTAATCTCTATCCTTGACTTTCCATAACACCTTACATCACAAACCACACCTCTGTTGGGGTCCATCGACCAATCAGAGGCTCTCAAACGAACCGGAAGTAGAGCCCATTTTAAATGTGGCACTTCCCAGAGTTCTAGAGAAGAGAGCAGTAGAATGCAGAGAGTTTGGGAGTTCGTGAATGCAAACGCAGGCATTCATGGATGCTGCTAAACCAAACAAGCTGAACCAGAGACGATTTTGGGAATTATAACTTCTGTTTGGATAACCTCGCACGGCTCTCGAGGTATTTGGCTGTTCTCACTGAGACGCTGAACAGTGGTTGGAAGTGAGACTCCACGCCGGAACTGATCTATCTTCAGAAAAGGTAAAAGTCGACCTTCACCAAAAGTGTACTGTTTGGGACAAGCTGAGTTCCGAAGGAGCGTGTACGTTCTGGTTAACACAGACAAATTCCCTCACACATCTCTCTGTAAGATAAATCTCAATTTTCCATCTTTAAACTCTCCTTTCTGCTAGAAAATTAATCCAGATGTTTTCATTAATGTCTGTGGTGAAGCAACGGAAAATCATGGCCGTATGGTTTTCCTGGTTGTAAAACTGATAATTATGTTGTTGTTTTCATATTCTGCCAAATTAATGTAAATGTGTGATGTGTTAAACTTGATTCTGTTAATAAATGACCCACTCGCTTGGTGAGTCAAAGATAATTAACGTCTCACGTCCACATTTCTGTTAAATTCAACGCACGTACATCACACAGTCCAGAAAAATGAGTGAACCCGTTTTAATTGATGAATATATCTAAGCATCTGTTCATCTACAATAGACACAAGACTAATGTTTGACGGATACCGAAATGGCTGAGGAGAATATGGATTTTATCTCGGATATGTATAAGCAAGTGTTTCATGTGTTTTAAAGTGCTTCAAATGTGCAAAAAGTTGCTGGGTCTGTTTGCATCGGTGAACAAGATGGCAGCAGAAACAGCAGCACCAATGCAGTTTCACAGAGGTGCAGATCCTCAATGTCTGACTGTTCTTTGACGCTCTGGGTGGTACAATTCACTCTTCTTTACAACTTTGTTTAAGTTCACTGAGGTTTTCATTCAGTGGTTTCTTCATAGTGCTCTGAAAGTAAAAGGACTGTACTTATACAGCGCCTTTCTATCTATTGAGATACTCAAAGCGCTTTACAACAATCTGTGCCTCATTTACCCATTCATACAGCTCTATACTAGATCTCTACAAAGCTAATTGAACAAATCATTCTAAAGAGACTAATCAGAGCTTTATCACATTCATGCACTGATGGGACACACATCAGAGGCAACGAGGGGTTCAGTGTCTTGCCCAGGGATACTTCGGCATGTGACTGATGGTGGATTCGAACCCCCAACTCTCACATTGCAGGACGACTGCTCTAACCACTCAGCCACAGCCGCCCCTTTTGGATGAGAAAGACTGAGGGACAGTTATTCAAAAGCATCATAACTAATAACTGGTTTGGCATTAATCAATAATCCTGACTGAAAAATAGAAGCTACTCCTCCACCTCAGCCTGTTGTTCTTGTGAGAATTCCACTACCTGCAGCTCCTCCTCTAATTGGCTGCTGATTACCACCAGCTGGCAGCCATCCATCTGAAGAGCTCCTGCTACTATTTAAGGCTGCAGTCCAGTGTGACTCATCGCTGGAGCATTGTACCCTATTTGGTATTTATGCTTTTGGCCAGTAAATGAAAAATATATGAGAAATACTTACCTTTGTTTCTGTGTCTACAGTCCTCCTGTTTTCTTGGTTCCTGTTTGGATGCAGACTCCCGTGGTTCTGGTTCATGTTCTCCGTGCCTCGCCTTCCAGCCACACGCCTGTCCTTCCTGAAGTGTTCCGCCTTCCTTTGGATCATCCCTGGTGACTTACGTCCACGCCAAATTCTTGCTTCACCATCTGTAAGGAAAAACCAAACAAAAATATTAAGAACTACTACTGGACTCCACTTATTCAACTCTCTTTCCCAGGATCTCCAAGAGATGACCCACTGTAAATAGACACTGTAAATAATAAACATCACTACTTTTTTCCTAACCAAGTCTTGTCTTTTCTGGTTTCGCTCCATCTGGGTTCCTCGAGTCCTGACAGAAATGTTCCAGCCAAACAAGGCCCAGAACGAGACCAGAGATGAACAAGCCACCTCTTCATCTGAGATGGAACACATCAAGGAGAGGCTCCAACGAGTTCTACAACAACAACATGAAACACAGACCAACTTGAGAGAGCTGGGAGGTATGGTTTACGCTCTTAATCAAAGACTCTTGTCTTCTTCACCTTCCCCAGCTTCTGTTACTAGGCCCGAGTTCCAAGCAGAATCCAAGGACCTGGTCTCAATCCAACAGGTAATCACGAAACCATCAGAATATTTTTCTGGAGACCCAAATCTGTGTGGAGGATTCTTGCTACAAATCAAACTAGCCTTCAAAGGAGCACCTCAGTTATATTCTTCCGACACAGCAAAAATAAATTATTTTACCCACCAGCTGAAGGGTGAAGCGCTTCGGTGGGTTAATTCCTTTTTCCAATTTCATGATCCGGACTTTGTTTCGTTTGAGACCTTGTTAAAAGAATTTCGCCGAATTTTTGACCGTCCGTTGCAGAAGCCCAACGC